GTGAATTCATATGTAAGGTGTATTGTTTACACCAATTCACAAAATGAGGTACAAAGTTTAAAAATTCAAAATTCAGGTTTCTACATAATTAATTGAAATTATTTATTAATTAAATATAATAAAGTCACAGTTACACGATTAATGGTCACAAATTCATAATTATTGGTCACAAATTTACTTATTGGTCACATATTATCAAATTAATTGGTTACAAATTATTTTGAAGTCACAAATCAAAAATTTTGTAGGTCACAAATTATTTCGAAATCACAAATCAAAAATTTACAAATCACAAATTATTTCATTGATCACAGATTAAAAAAATTACAAGTCACAAGGTTACATATATTTAAAATTATTGGTCACATATTCTAAATAGTTGGTCACATGCACCAAATACCCCCACCACCAATCTTGGTCACAAATCACCGCCATGCAATTGCTGCTTGCACCACACCATCGACTGCATCTCACTAACACCGTCAACAAAACAAACACTTATTCAGTAAAAAAAAAAAAAAAAAAAAACACTGTATAAAATTCAACCTCCATTTCATATAAAATCATTAATTCAATGCCAAATAAGCCAATTGTTCAGCCGGGTTGCTAGCTTGCTGCTGATACACGTTCCTCAGAACCTCCATAGCCTCTGCAACCTTAGCTTTTAAAGCATCTGGTGATTCTAGCAAGTGTAAAACTTTCGCCTGGTCCATTTCCAGAAGCTTGCCCGTCACCTTAGCTGCCGTGTCAGGCTCTAGTTGTTCCACCAATGGGTACAGATTTTCGTCCAACATATCCTTTGTTATGTGGGTGAGGCATTTACAAGAGCAGATGCCAAAGCTCCAATGCACCTTCCCCACATCAGTACCAGCGCATCAGCGTCGAAGAGAGAAGGTGAAGACGGTCCAACCCCATTGCCTGTAGATCGGAAAGAGAAAGGACATCGCGACGCTGCGTTCGCAGTAGCGTCGCCTCCCCCATGCCAGCACCGGCACCTCCCCATGCCGTTGCGCTCCTTCGTTGCCGGTTGCAGTAGTCGCTGGCGTCAAGCAGATAGAGAGGGGATGGGAATGTGTGCTGATGTATGAATGATTAGGGTTAGAAATGTGAAATGAATTGGGTGGATTTATTTAATATTTAAATTATTAAATCAATACCTGATTTTTGCACAATGAAAATTTAACCCAGATCTTTGAATTGTAATATTTAAACACATGGTTTCATGTAATTTTCCCAAAAAAAAAAAAAAAAAAAAAACCTCGCCTCGCTGGTCACCTTCTTCCTTCTTTGTTCCACAGTTCCGGCGGAGTCTAGCACGCACGGCCGCTCTCTCTCGACGGGTTCTGGATCCACCCTGGTTGTGAGTAGCATTAATTTGTTAAGCTACTTTCAACGGTTAATGTTATTTTTGAGTTGAGTTTTTTGGACTTGGTTGTTGGTAATTAATTCATCATTAATGGTCGAGGCCTGTTAAATTATATTCCGACGTTTACATCATAGTTTGAGATTCATTGGGTGTCAAAACCCAACTGGTAGAAATCAGTAAAAGCCTATAATACGAAGCCACACTATATGAAGAAAAGAGTGCCTGTAGCAAGAGAGAGGTAGAGGGGTTGGTGGTCCAATTATTAGTCCCTTATAATTAATATGTTTTATGGACGATTTTCCGTCATAAATTTTTTAGAGAGCGAACCAGAGTAGACATTTATTGAGAATATGATCCCCGCACAACATGTGACGAAAATTGGAAAACAATGTGTTCTGCAAGATGTAACTTCCCCGAAAGGCAGAAGCACTCTCTCCATGGCAGAAAACAAAAAAATGGAGCAAGTCAAGAAATGGAGCCAAGAAAGTGAGGCATCAAGTAAAGCTCCAATCCCTCGCAGTTCCACTGGTCTATGATGGGAAAGGTGGTATGCCAGATTGCGACCACCAAGAACAAAAGCTACGAACTCCAGTCTAAGTTGGTGGAGGTCAATAGAGTCTTAGCCGCTAAGTTGACTGATTAACTAGTGTTGAGGCGTTGGTACAGAGTTGCGTAACCTGTGGATAATTTTTTTTCCAGCAATATGTAACTGATACTAAACTAGCAATGGAAGCAAGTTTATAGACCACTTTATTTCCTGTTTCTAGAATAACTCGTCTGGAACCAAAATAATTTCCCAAATGCCTGACTTGTTTCAATCCATTATGTTGATTTGCCATGTCACTAACTCATTTTTTATTTATATAAAACATATCGAACCTTATCCGTGTCTTTAGCTATGATATCGAGGTCAAGGTAAATGTTGAACACATTTTCTGCACTATTTGATATGAATTGCCATGCATTGGGGATAAAAAAAGTATCGAAATTTAAAATTAAGGATATGATCCTTTTCAGCACACATGCGCTTTGTGGAATTTGTTTTTGAATTTAATAATAACCTTTCTGCTTCAGTTTTATCACAAGGAAAAATAAGTGTCCTGAACAGGATCATATTTCACAATGTTGCAATATATTCCACTCATCATATAATATACAAGATTCTCCTACTTTGCCTTAGTGCTATCTGGTTTGTCTTCAGTTTAAAGATTACGCCATTAAGAATGGTCGGCCCTTCAAAAAAAGTGAAAATCTGCAGAATTTGATAGGATGCCAGTCTCTCTCACTCCTTTCTGCCTCAACTGTTCACTTCTCCATTTTTGTTTCTTCGTGCTTGTCTCTCATTGATTATAAGCATAAATTTACTTGCAATTAGTATTTTTAAGTAAAATCAAGTTCAACAACTCCCTTTGTATAAATGGTGGGGATCATCAATTGAAATTACTCTCTTCCACATTGAGCTTTCTCGTGGATAAGGTCAGATAGATGAGTAGTATGGTTCCCACACTCGACCTGTAGGAAAACAACCATGAATTAATAAACGAAGGTCAACAATCAATTGTCACGTCTAGTCTTGTCTAATTTGAAGCACTACTCATGCTAAACAATTTTGTGACTTTTTTAACATCTCAAGTTTTTATACGAGCTGATTTATCATGGTACTAGAATGAACAAAAGTTCTCAAGTTAAGTTTCGTCTTCACTCATTTAAAAAAGTGCCGTATGGTGTGAGGCCCTTGATTAAATACACTTTGTTGAAGTATCGAATTTGGTCCACCTATCTTTTTGCTTTTAATTTTATCATTGCGTTTAATGGGTGCGAATCCTCCACTTTTCGAATGGGTTTAAAACCCCTTAAATTTGTGCAATGTACATAAGAAGTTTTGGTGGGCAACCACAACATTGGTTTCCCATGTGCTTTATAGTTCGCACAAAGCCCTGTGTATAGGGCTTTGTTCTGCAAAGGTCTTACCCACCCCTCACATGGGGTCAGGCCCATGCGGGTCCCAATGCCATAAAAAATGAGGAAAAAAAAAAGCCTGACCCCACCCTTGTGAGGGGTCGGTAAGACCTTTGTAAGTGCTGGGCGTACTCTTATAGTTCAGCCCAGTTTGGGCAGTATGTGAATTCCATTTAAAAAAGAGGACAACACTTGTCCATTTCTAGAAAATTTTGAAGTAATTGATCTGTAAAATCTGTATGGATTGGAAAGAAAATTAATGACGAAAGACAATGACTAGTGATTTTGTCTAGCGAATATACCTAATTCGTTGAATGAATAGGTAAAACTTACAAGGTTGCAAAGAAGATAAGTATCCTTCTAGGATCAATAGCCCACGAAGATGAGGATGACCGCCGGAAACTAAACCTCTTGCCGCCGTATTTGCTATCGACAGCCATGTTACCCACTGTGCCATTCATGACCGTGATTTGATTATGGACTGGCAAGTTAATGGCGTGATCGATGGCCCCCGAAATCTGTAGGACTGGCATTTCAAGGCTGCTACCCCCATGGAAAACCTCGCCTGCGCGCAAATCTAATTGTCAATATATTGTTCTTCTCTACTAGAAATTTTGGATGGTAATCAACATGTTTAGAGTCAAAAACTTGTGCGTGTGCAGCCAAGCATAGAATATTTGGATAAAAACAAAAAGGGATGACAGTCTCTATCCTGTGTTTGTTTCTCCAATAAATTAATAGAGCTTTGAAAAAAAGTTATATTTCTTTTCTTTTATTGTTATTGGAAAATCCCAATAACTTAAAACTCTATGTTGTAAGTAAACATTGATGACAATAATTGTTATTAAATATTTTTCACTTAATAAAGTACTTGATAAATCATAAAGTCCTAAACTTGTGTCAATCACACAATTACTTGAGCTATATATGTAGAAGAATGCTGCTCTACCAGATTGAGGTTCACAGGCCTTATACAAGCTCCTCACAATGAGGTGGGCCCCAAGTCAGACCAACTTGTCATAAAAAATTGCAAAAATACTGATCTCACCTGCTTTTGTGAGTTGCTTGTAAGACCCCTATGAGGAAGGGGTCTGACAATGTAGCATCACTCATAAATGTATGTAGTTCAAGCACATTCTAGCACGATGAATGCTTAATTGTTATTACTATTATTATACTTGGGATGTTAATCTAGTATTTGGAGCATTATTGTATTTTAGCTGATAATCAGTTGACAAGGTCTTAATTAAATGGCTAATAGATTAGATTTAGGACTTGTATTTGGCCCCTAGATTGATGTTCATAGATTGACTTCAGGCATTCCTTCAACATGGACTTGGCCTTCTCTGATTGGCCTGAACTCTACTCGCGTCTGGGCACGGACTTTACCTAATTTGGTAGGTCTTGCTTTCTAATATTTTGCCTGTCACGAGCTCGGCCTTCTCTACAGGATCTCACCAGGTGTCTTATTGGCTTAGCATTCTCTGATTGGCCTCATCTTCTATCATGCGAGTCCCTTGTTTAGCTGAACTATTTTCATGATGCAACTGAGTATATTGTTTTTTTAAGGGGAGGGAGAGGGGTTGATACATGTTGGTTTATATATATTCAATTCAAAAAGAATTTGACCTACCCTGATATTTTAAGCCCCCGTTTGGCCCATATTATTTGGATTTATAATGGGGGGAATAATATTTTCTTGAAGATTGTGTGGTCGAAAAGTTTTCGATTTGAATATAATATTATTTTATTGAAGATTGTGTAGTTAAAAGTAGGAGAGAGAGAAAATTAAATTAAATTGAAGAGTTTTAAAGAGGGGCAAATGGGGGCTAAGAATTGGATTTAGTTTATTGTTAAATATATTTAATCAGGTTGTCGTACCCATATTCATGGAGCGTGTTTATTAAAAAAAAGGTTGAACCCCAACCTTAAGGGTCCCCCACCGCCCCTGCCCTGGAACATTGTGAGGGAGGTAAATCGCAAGTTATGCCTTCAAGGGTACAGGGTGGAAGGCTGCTTGTACACTTGCACTTACCCAAGAGCCAAATTCATATTTCAGGATTCGAACCCTTGACGCGGCAGCCTCAAGCAAAGTTGGATTTCTCCACCCTTCCATTTTACCACTTGAAGATGTGCTCTGGGGGCTCATGGAGCGTGTTTATTGAATAGACGTGAGATCATATTTTTGAAAAATCAAGAATCAACACATAAATCAAGTTAAAGTAATTGGCTTCTTCATTAGGAAAAGAAAAATAGAACTAATGGTTACCTCGTGGTGCAATTGCAACCATGCCAACTTTTCTAATATCGTTGCTTGTACTTTGGTTAATCTTCTTCTCGCCACCTCTAAGAGATCCTTTTCTCCAAAGGTTTCTCTGCAACTTCTAGTCCAAGAACAAGCATATTTAACAACAACAATAACAACAACAACAACAAAAGAAGAAGAAGAAGAAGTAAGTTTTAGAATCTTAATATCTGCGTAGAACGGGAAATCACTCAACTTATTTACATTAATCTTGGATATTAGTCACTAAGATTTATTTTATTTCAAAATGGCATGAACTTAATTTTTTGTTCTAATTTGGTCACGCATTAAAATTAAGTTTATCGAGTAGATTGTCAAACGTGAAAGACCTTCACATTGATAACACATCAGAAAGTCTGCTACATCATCTGTTTCGTTAAAAAGACAAATGGATTTTAAGTGACGACTACACTGAAATAAACTTAAGTGCCATTTTGAAACAAAATAAAATTTGATAACTAATAGTAACGTTTTTAACCATATTCTTGCAGCATCAAGAAACCTTTGCTTTTTAGAAATTCATATCAATATTGAAGTTCTTAAAAGGGAAATTTTTCAAGGTTAAAAAAGTAGGAATTCAAGGAGATTTTGCAAGAAAAAGAAGAAGTTGACAAATAAAAAGCAGCAGCAAATTAAACTTACTGTAATTCTTGACTTTGAATTGATGTCTTTCTCAAAGCGTTCCATGTCCATTACAAAGCTATCAGATGTAATCCCTTGCTGTTCTAATCCATTTACATGATCACAAAACAAAACTCTTTGATTACCCTTTTCTTTAAATTCATAATTTGATCTCAGATTATCATCAGAACCCGAATCCACCTAAAGTTCAAATTAAAAATAAATGAAATTATTCTAGAGAATCTTGAGAGACCTGAATATTCGATAAAACAGTAAAATAACAGGTCTTGATAAAATTATACGTACCAACTTTGGATTTTCAGTCATTTTCACCAGCCAGTGCAATATATAATGAGGTATTTGGCAAGTGTCACTAACTTGTAGAGCAAATCGGGATATTACTTCCAAATTTCCACCACCTAATTCATCAAACAAACACCGACCTTAGTTAGTTAACTTGCACAAAGTCTGTCAAGAATTATAAGAAATCAAGAGGAAAAAACCATCATTTCGAACTGTTCAATTTCTAATAAACTTTAAAAAATTTCAGACCTTCATTTCAGAAAACGAGAAAATTTCTTCTTCTTCTTCTTCTTCTTCTTCTTCTTCTTCTTCTTCTTCTTCTTCTTCTTCTTCTTCTTCTTCTTCTTCTTCTTCTTCTTCTTCTTCTTCTTCTTCTTCTTCTTCTTCTTCTTCTTCTTCTTCTTCTTCTTCTTCTTCTTCTTCTTCTTCTTCTTCTTCTTCTTCTTCTTCTTCTTCTTCTTCTTCTTCTTCTTCTTCTTCTTCTTCTTCTTCTTCTTCTTCTTCTTCTTCTTCTTCTTCTTCTTTTTATGATCAGGGTGGAATAATTGGACTCTGTGGTTAATGGAACTGGATAGTCCTAAATAAGAAAATCAAGCAAGAAGGGAAAAGAGGGCGAGTGTCAAGATGGATTAGGGAACGAAAATGTGTTTTGCATACAGAAAAGACTCCTTGGAGAGGTTGGGTCAGTTAGGAGTTAATGTTAAAAAAGAATTCTATTTGGCACGAGTCACAATCCACGACTTCATCTGTCAAGTGTCAATTTTTCTCTTAAAAACAAAAGGAAAAAAGCTATCTTTTAAAATACCAATTTTATCTCTCGTTGTTCACTCCCACATGCGTCCCATTTCTAACTTTAGATGCACTTCTACAATCAAACTATGGGGTGGAATAGGGATGGTAGAATCGAGATTCTGGCAGTAGAGGGGGTGTTATTGGATTGTTGCGGTATAAGGTGAACGATGTTTTATATATGGAATATTAATGTTTCAGTTACTCCAATTTTTATGTATTATTATTCATTTTTTATTATTATTATTATTTTTGGTGTTGTCAAATCTATTCGATCATTTTGGTTAAAAATTTAATAAAGACATGTTAGCTATTTTGATAAATTTAAAACTGTAATGATGTGTTTGATAGGAAAGATTTAATAGTATTGAAATATTTTAAATTAAAGAAGAGAAACTAGTCAAACATGATCTAAGAGTGTATATATATATAACTCTCACTTGTGATGCAGGAATACTGTAGTTACATAAGATCAGAGAATCACAACCGAAATCAAAGCATAATCCAAACTCCTTAAAAACTAAAACAAAATGATTTAATAATATTGAATATTATTAATTTATTTTTTTTTAAAAAGAAGTTAACTAGTTAAAATCTTATTTATTATATTGTCTAATCTTGTTTGGCACAATTAGGACTGGACAAAACATACGAACTGAACCGGGCACAAGTCGAACTGAATCAAGCGGTTCTTCTTAAGTTAAATACTCGGAATGAGTATCTGAATCAAGAACTGACTGGTTTGGTTCAATTCTCAATTTTAGATCCATTTTTTTTTAAAAAGAAGTTAACTAGTTAAAATCTTATTTATTATATTGTCTAATCTTGTTTGGCACAATTAGGACTGGACAAAACATACGAACTGAACCGGGCACAAGTCGAACTGAATCAAGCGGTTCTTCTTAAGTTAAATACTCGGAATGAGTATCTGAATCAAGAACTGACTGGTTTGGTTCAATTCTCAATTCTAGATCCAGTATTGAAGAATCTGATCTCCCTAAATTTTTTACATTTTTCTCTATATTAAATAAGTCAAATTATTTTATTTTTTAAAATACATTTACTACTAATTAATATAGCTCATATCCAAAATATAATGTTCCTTTTTCTAGATTTCAGCTTAAGAATAAACTTAATTTAATGAAATTGACCTAAGTTTTACCCAAATCTTTTATTCTACTGTAAAGTCGTTTCTTCCTATTTTTGGAGAAATCGAGTTGGAAGCTAAGCATTGTGCTGCACAATGCCATTTTAGTTAGAATACTATAATGATAATTTCTTTTTTATTTTATTTTTTAATTGCTCAATACCATTGAAAACTCTTTGCCAGACAAACATTAGGTGCAAATTTGCTAATTCGAGTAGAAAGGAACTACTTTCTAATTTACATACACTCACGAATATATAAATTCAAGTAAAAAATTAGATGATTCTCTGATAAAGAATTGATGAACAATCAAATTCTTGCAATTTTCTTCAAGTCTACTATGCGATGAGTCGACGTCGAGATGCCAAATGCCTGTCTTTTAAGAACTCTTGGGTGCGGGGGAGTCCAAAAATTAGAAACAGATAACAGAAATATGGACATACAAGAAAGGAAGATCAAAGATAGCAAATTTAATGTAAATAATTACGAATTTATATCTCCCAATCTGGACCACACTTTCACACGCCTAAAAAACAGCCCGGTGTCTTGCTGCAGTTTGGCAGCTGCCTTTGACTATCTTACTTTGTGATTTTTTTCATTTATTATTTGGATAATATGTTTTTCAATAATTTTCCTAATTCATTGTGAATCAAGATGATGATGATGATGATGATGATGATGATGATGATGATTATTATTATTATTATTATTATTATTATTATTATTATTATTATTATTATTATTATTATTCACAAGTATCTTTGAATTCATTGCATGACATGGAATATTAATGTATTTAAGTGACTGCCTACTTATTACTTATTGATTATTTTTATTATTTTTTTTCGACTTTATCACTGAATATGATATTATAGGAAATGTTTATTCCAGTATATTGGCTTATAGACTGATCTAGTAGAATTTATGACTGGATGGGATATGACTTCATGGGTTAAACAAATAAAATAATCATTATGGTTTAGTACGTACCGAAATAATAAATATTCGAGACACTACATTTAAATACATGATAACGGTGATAAATATATCGTTTAAAGGTATTATTCATTACTTTTATGTACAAAATAATTGAATCGAAACATCTTAGGAGTAAGTAACAAAATACATTTCGTTGCCCAAAATTCAATTTTTGCAAGCAAACTTCTGATCAAATCGGATAGATTAATCTAGTAGATGTAATTTTATTTCGTTCTATCATCTAATTTAAGAGTCTAAATAAAAATTAGTAAATTTATATATTTCGGTATTTATATACATGCATTTCAATTATAGAAATGTGAATTTATTAAAGACGTGATAATTCTAAATTTTATATATAGACAACGACAAGACCATTGAATTATGGTAATGTAGCCAGGCCAAACGAGCATGGTCCTTGAGAGACTAGGGGTAGTGATCCTGATCTTGTTACTTGCCCTGAATATGAAGGAAATAAATATAGGTGTGGCTAACCACTAGAGTTTTACACATGTATATATTTTTAGAGTTCTTTTCCTGCAATTAGCTCTTCATGTAAGGAGATGGTTAAGTTCATTCTCATTCTCATTTTGATTAATCAAAAAAATTTGTTAAATGGGACGTGGGAGAATTGTACCATTGATCAGCTATAATTGGACTACTTAATCTCAACTAAAGACTTTCCCTATTGCATTTAGAGTGTTTCAGAATTGATTAGTCAGTTAGAGTATTTGTCACGCATGTTATCTTTATATGTAATCAAGTTAGGTTACAATTTCACCATCTATGCGTTGATCAATCATGTCATTCAAAACATAGTGTTCAAATTATCAACTTTAATTTATACATCATCTTCTCATGCATTATTTGTTAGGTACATATAAGATTGTTAAGTTAAGTTTGAATTTCAAGCAGATAAGATTGTTTAGTTAGGTTTGAATTTTGAAATTAGTATTCTTAGCTTAGACTGCTCCTACTATCACTCTCATGTAACTGTATATTTATCGATGGGCCTCAAAATTTAAATTATGTTTAAAATCCACCAATAAATATATATGACACGTCACCAGTACATAACATAAGATGATCGCTACTGCTTATTAGATCATTCCTATATATATTAGCTCCTTGATCATCGATGCTCCATAAACGAGCCCCATCTTCAAACATTCTTTCATTATCCCTATCGAATTTCATTAATCTTCATGTCCGCTATCATGATTTATGTGGTTCGCCTTTCCAACTTTTGAAAAATATAAGCAATCCTATAACAGGACATATTCAATGGGCCCGAATATATTGGGTTTCATAAATCAGGCATCATATTAGTTCACTGGGTTTTCCACCCATTTACTTTGATAACTCTCAGCGCCTAATATGAATTTCGAAAACGTTGTCAAGAAGGTGATTTGTTAAAATTGCACTCTTTTAAGGAAGGGAAAAATTCATATATAGGAGATTAAATATGACCTATTTCAAAATTAAGAAACAATATTTAAAATTTCAAAAATCAAATATTAATTACATTTTAGTTATGAAATAATTAATTAAATATATTAAAGTCACAATTTTATACAATTTGGTTACAATTATCGAATTAATTGGTTATAAATTATTTCTTGATCACAAATAAAAATTTTATAAGTCACAAATTATTTTACGATCACAAATAAAAATTTTTATAAGTCATAAATCACAAATTTTCAAATTAATTGGTCACAACGTAATAAATTGCGAGTCACAATCACATTTTTTAAATTATATATTTTTATTAATCATAATTTGACCAATTTATTGGTCAAAGTCAATCAAAAAATTGTCCAAAAACACACCACCATCGTTGTCACGACCACACCCACCACCAACATCGCTGCTACCTCCCTAGACCGCCAATATCACCACTGTAGCCAACATCACAACCACCACCATCCAAAGACCACCAAAAAAAAAAAAAAAATCAAATCCAAAATAATGTTTTGCATAATAGGCTAGACTTCGCAACAACCAAAATGCCGTGCTACGACCACCACCAACTCACCAGGCTGCCAACATAACTACCACCTCGTTACCATAGCCAATATTACCACCATAGCAATCTTCATGGAGTGGACACTGCGCTCAGTGCCGTTTCAATCCCAACACCTAGTAGATTCTTCCAATCTAACATACATTTCTCTCTGAAGCAGGAGGGTCCAAATCAAGCGATGTTGAGTTATCAGATTGAGCGTACCATGAGTTGGCAGATCGACACAAAGATGGCAAGTGATCGCAATCTTTTTCTAATTGGGACAATTTTGAACGCGTTTTTATAATTTGACCATAATGTTGGCTACGTTTATCAAATAGCAATTATAACCCCAATTCGAAAAGTTCTTTTCGATGCGTACATCATGGTCATCCAAC